CGTAACAGCCAAGCTTGCCTTTCCTGACCATCTGTCTTTAATGCTTCTTAGGACCCTTGCATGACAGGCCAACCAGAGATTATCACTTTCTTACTTGCCTCTTCCCCAGTATTTGTATGTACCTTTTATTACATTAATCTTAGGCAGCAGTGTATTATCCTAAATGATGTGTTTAGTGGTTTCTTCCCTTTTTTTTTTTTAATTGCATTGTTTATACTTTAAAGACAAAGATTTCTGTTATCTTTGGATCACCTCCTCTCATGGAAAAACTTCAAAATGTTTAAAATTAATATATTCAATTGACTTGAATGCAGGGAACATCCTACAAATGTTACTCTATGTGTGAGTCTTGCAATTTCATTCTTTTAGGGATAATTCTTATTCTAAGAAACTAGTGTGGTTTGTGGCTTAGAGTCACAGTTTAAGCTGCCCTTAAGAAGAATGAAAAACAGCTGGTATCCAAGGAGCTCTGGAAATTAGTCAATAAACTAATTGTAGGGACAGAAGCCAAGAGTAGAGAAGTTTCTCTTACACACTAAGTTATATCTATATTGTCATCTCTGTAAAAATATAGACTTCTAGAAAACTAAACATTTCCAATAAAGTGTTTTTTTTATCAAAATCTTAGACATATGAACATCAACACTGGTGTTCAAATTGCCTGTTTTATTTAGTCATGTACAATAGCTAACAAAACCAAGTATTGGAGAAAGATAAATTTTCTTTTAAGGGATTTTTTTTAAGGATTTATTAAAAGCTTCTTTGTATTATTTCAGACATATTGGATAAAATATAATTATAAATTATGAGGAAAAAATCTGTTGAAATATTTATAAATAACATAAAAAGTAATGCTACTTATCAACAAATCACAGGGCTATAAGGAAATTCAATAAATCTGTAATGACTGATCATGGTACACAGAAATGGTCTAAGAAAATAGAGATAGATACAAAGATAAATAAACATAGACTTAGCACCCTGAAAGCTTAAAATTAGAAAGTTGTTAAGAAATACACAAATAATTGTAAATCAAGTTTGATTATAATGAGAGTAATGTGATAAACATGAAGGGCTACCACAGTTCACAACAGGGAGAAACCATATATAACCCCATGAGTAGGCACAAAATAAATCAGTAAAAGAATTTGGCATTCTGATGTCAGAAATTTGAAGGGCAAGATTACAAAGAAAGGACTAAGTTAAGGAAAAAACATTAAAAGGAGTTAAAATGCAAAAAAATTAAAATGGCATGGTAAAAATGCTCAGAGTCATAGACAAAGTCAGGCTGATATAAGCAGAAAAAACTCTGAGCCAAAGACTATCTTCTATATGACATCCTTGGATGATGTCACTCACTGAGGAGCATGACTTGAAAACATGACTGGCAACTCAGAACACACACATTTGTGAGGAAGTCACAATGAGGGGTGTCCTAACTTTTTGAGTACACAGTACAGATTAGGAGCTGAGCTGGCTTTCACACTGCTCAGGGTCAGAATCCATGTTGAACAAGTTAAAGTAAAGGTAAGATGTCAAATGTAGATCTGTATGTTCACCAAGCCTATGGAATTAAAGTCATTCTGTCTGTACTTCTAAGAGAAGTTGTACTTCCCTCTAAGTTGTTGTACTATTGTACTTCCCTACCAAGTTTCTCAGTCTTCACGAAGGATCCCAATGATCCTTCATGGTCCATTTACTCAAAGAGTCCTTAGAATTTAGGGTGCCCCCAAACAAGCTTATTTTCTAAGTGGACTGATCAGCATCCCTTCTCCAGGCCTTTGTCCTTGCCTTCACCCTGTCTTCCCTGTTCTGCTAGTGTGGCTTTCTCCCTCACCTTCCCCTGGAGCATTCTTAATCAGCTCTTTCCTGTCTCCCTTACTCAGCATCAAAACTTGGCCAAAACCTGTTTTCTTTTTCTTTACACCTTACCATGTGCTAACATATACAACATATACAAATTCTATAGTAATTTACTTACTGGTTTATTTTGATTTCCCACCCACAGGGCCAAGGATGTTTGTCTATTTTATTTATGAATGTATTCTCAGTGCTTAAAACAATTTCTAACAGACAGCAAATGTTCAATATGTGTCAAATGAATAAATATATGCTTGCATCAACTATTGGCATAGTATTTACATCAATATTTGAAACAGTTCCTATTTTGTTTTATGGAACTTAACTGTTCTGGTTACTGTATTTCAGTACTTATATTGAATTAAGGAGGATTTACAAACCATTACTATATAATTAGCATTCTATCTGGCTATCACAAAATAAATCATGTAGTGGTTCTGATATTTGAGAGGAAAATAAAAAGAGGGAATGACAAACAGAATATAAATATTACAGGATTTCAGCTGTCATTTTAAGGGGAGAAACAAAGATAACCTAACATCTCTAGGAGTTGCCCCAGTGGGGCATTTGCTAAATCTAGCACATGAAAAGACACGATCAATATCAGCATAGGCTTTTGAATTACACAGACTTGAATCTCATTCCAACAGTGTCATTCATTATCCATGCCACCTTGGCCTAGTCATTAACTTCTCTAAGTGATTTTATTTGTAAAGTGAAGATCATAATCTTAACCTCCCACAGGGAATGTGAGCTATCAAATGAGATCATCTATGGAAACAAATAGTCAAGTGCTTGGCACATAGGAACAATTAAACAAATGCATGTGGAATGAATTAATTCTTGATAAATAGAGGAAAATAGAACTAGAAAAAAAGTGACATTTTCAACCTGTTTCTTTTTCTTAAGTTTATTTTGTCTTGAGAAAGAGAGAGAGAGAGAGAGAGAGAGAGAACTTTGATAGGGCCTTGCCATACCACAATCCCTCCCCCAGTTCCTGGCATGTTTAGGTTGATTTGAATCCAAACCAGGCCTCCCACATGGCTCCAGTATCACTCAGTGGTGTTCTGCCTTCTGTATGGCTGGGGCTGGGCCTCCATTGATTTCCCCTACATTGTACTCACCTGTGCCTTTACTCACACTCCCTTCCCCTCAGTATCATTGAAACAGTGAAGTGCATTCTTTATTGATAGGTGTGTACATATTATTCACTTCTTACAGATAAGAAACGGGTCTTACGTACATTAAGTGACTAGCACAAGGCCACAAAGCAAGCAGCAGAATTAGTCATTGAACCCGGGTCACCTCACCTCCCAAGCTGGCTCAGTAGTCTTGGCCTGCATCCTAGGCTGCCTAGCACTGTGATGACTGCCAGAAAATATGCCCCAAGTCTGTGGTCTGTACATCATGCCTTTCTAAACTTAGAAAGGATCTCATGCATCTTTCTTTCATAGTTTATAGCAATTTTTAAAGGGTTTTGTTCCTCTTATTATATATTCACATCATCTAGAAGCATCGCTTCTGTGGGGGTTGTTGTTTCTGTTTTGAGATCTTGAATGGGTTTTAAATAGGCACCTTTTGTACAAAATTCAAGAGAATCCATAAAAACTGTTCACTGAATATCTATTAAGCTGTTGGATCTGACTGAACTACTCCTCGACTCATACATTCCTCACAACAACCCTAGGTGGCAAATATTACCTTTACCCTCATATTAGAGATGATGAAAATGAAATACAGGGAGGTCATGAATTTATTTGAACCATAACATTTAGATTCTAGAGCCCTTATTCTTTCTTTTATTTATTTATTTTTTTGAGAGGTTTAGAGACAGAAAGCGAGAAATCACCCCCCAGGGGGGATGGCCACGCTGCAATCCCTTCTCCTCCATTCTCCTCTTGGGATCTTGGGCACGCACGTACACGCGCCCAGCGTGAGTTTTAAGCCACCAGGTCCCAGACGTGAACCGCGGTCGACTACATGGAAGTCCAGCGACATAGCCATTACGCTAACTACTAGTCCCTAGAGCCCTTAATCATGAGAATATATTGTTCCTCAAATACGAGGACCAATTTCATCTTTTCTCTCTCTTTAATAAATTCTAGGAATATATATTTTAATAGAGCCAAAATTGTACTTCTATGAACTTCTGGACTTAGTAAGACATTATTTTTCCTCTAACACTGGCATCTGCAATTACTCAAACTTAAAAAGTTTATTTAATAAAATAAACAAATTTGGATTCTGATAGAAATCCCAAATTTTAATTCGTACTTATAAACAGTTGGGAGTGGTACCATTTTCCCCTGCTTCAATTTGAGAGTACCGTATTATGATCTCCATCACCTTAAACAGCCTCCAAGCTGTGCTGTTGTAAAGGGCTGGATTTTAAACCATAACCTTGCATAAATTCAAAACCCAAAAGACACTTTAAGAAAAGACTCTTTCATTTAGTATCAACTTTTTCTATTTCTTTTACATCCAAAATAAAATGCTATAAACATAGAGAATCTATTTTTAAAAGACAGCAAGGAATGTGTTCATAGCAAGCTGGAACCACGTGCAGGCACACTGGCTTCTCTGTTATCTGAATGACAAAGTATTAAAGCACAAGGGGGAAAAAAGTGAGGATGTTCTCTTAGGATACTAATAGATGAGCTCCGGAAGAGTTGGTCCAAGAAAGGGAAAAGACCACCTACTAGAGGCTAAATCATATACTTGAAACCTGTAATTTTAAGAATTTTTTTAAAAGCATTTTTGTTAACAAATATAACTATTAGATAAAGAATGTAAATAGTTCCATATGACTTTGTTTTTATAAAAGCGGCCCTTCCTAATGGGAACAGTCAATGTACTCCACTCTTTTAACTATGTGCCTTATATAAGATGCTTCCTCAATGGTACGGAACTCTCAGAAGAAAAATCTATGTAGATTCTCTCTCTCTCTCTCTCTCTCTCTCTCTCTAGTTCTATGATGAAATAGCACTTAACATTATCAGGCACATAAGAACCTTCCCTAAGTTCAAATATGCAAAATCCGTATGCCTTACCATATAAACGCCCATGGTTCCTTTAGGTTCTTCTAATGTGCAATTTAAAGCTTTCTCATTCAGATCTCAAAGGAAAAGAATTGCTCTTACCATATATTCCATGTTTGCTGCTGGTGGGAACACTTTGCCCCGAACTTGATTATGGTAATCAAGAATGGCGATCATGTCATTCTGCGAAATGTAGCGCTTCCGCCTGGCTTTGGGAATATCCGCAGAATCTAGTTGTGCTTTTAGAGCAGCTTCAATATCAGTGAAATTATTGGTTGGCGGGGATGAGTCAGTGGAATTGAGTAAGACGACAGCACTGGCTTCACAGAGAAGGGAGAACAGGAGGGCACTGCTGACAGCAGAGATTGCTATCATTTTGAAAGTGGAGAAGAGGAGGCCACCGAGTTTACTTGGCTTTAAAGCAGAAAGGTAGAGTTAGGGTCTATGGGGAAAAAAAAAATAGGTCCAGAGGTTATATATGTCCAAGGTCATCATTTGGGAGCATACTTGATTTGACTTCCTCCAAAAATGCAAATAGATGTTGAACTCAAGCCTAGGAGGTACCTACAGGAGAGTGTCTACTCATTCTGTTTAGTGTTAGAGGCAGACACCTGAGAGAAATGTTCTATAGCTAGAGAAAAATAAACAGCATGACCACTAACCCTAAAAATGAATGTGAACCCAAAAGCCTTACCATAAACTACATTACTGTATATTTATTTTCCATAAGAAGTCTTTAGAAATTAAAGTTCATCTTGAGAGTAAAGAGAAAATATGCATTACAGGTAACAGCAGAAAAGATGCTAATAATGTCTCCTAGGCATATATGTACACCAAGTGATAGAACACATACAAAAAAAAGTTACAGTTATCCAATCTCATTTCTTTAAAAAAAAGAAAAAGAAAAAAAAAGTGAGCTACTTTAAAATTCATGCATGCAATATAAACTTGTTGAACTAAATAGCTTACCTCTGCACAATGCCAAAATGAATATATTGTTCTTCCAAAAATTTAATGTTCTTTGCTATGTTGCAGTATGAACTCTTGTAAGAGGAATGTGTCTTATTACAAACTCTCAGAGAGCAAAACTCTGCAAGGTTTGAAGGCTGCTGGCTACAGGAGCAGCTAACAGCTTTTATATGTCACAGTTTGCAACGTCCAGAAAGGGCAGTCTTTCTTAGGGTCTTCTAGCCAAAATCAAAGGGGAGGGGTTTTGGATAGTGATTGGGTGGCAACCTTTTTATGTGGGTGGTGAGGAAATTGAGTCACACCCACAGCTTACAAACTGTAAACCATAAAAGACAAACCCCTTTTTCTCTGGGCTTCTACCTTTTCTGCGAGTGGTTAATTTTCTCATTTAATGCTTTCTAGTTCCTGGTTCCCATACAAAAAGAAGAAAGGGGAAAAAAAATGCCAGAAAGAGACATCGTGGGTTCTTGGAAACACAGACGACTGAGTAACAAGCAGTACATTTTTTTTTTTTAAGACAGTAAATGACATTGGAGCTGAAAAGAACAAACTGATATTAAATCAAGAAATCAGTTCACAGAGTTACTCTGGGTGGCCACAAATATGACTCAAGAGGGATGCCAGACAGATCAGTAGTAGCCAAACTATAGCATATGGTATTAGGATAATAGATGCTCAAGGGTTTGCTCTCTGTCTCCATGGGATTTATTCCTCTAACTTATGTATGTACTCCTTTTCTCTCTCTCCTTTCACCTTCCTTCCCTTTTTTCTTTGTCTACAGAGTGAGGTCAGCAAATTACCTGCTTTCTACCTGCCTTGTATAAAATGTGAACATAGACGTTCACGGCAAACGACAGCAGCCAAGATAACATCTGTTTCAGGTTTAGAAGCATATAGTTGCAATTTTAAGCAGAGAATAGCTCAGCTTCAGGAAGCTTAGTGGAGGGCACAGTTCTTGGAAACACAGACGACTGAGTAACAAGCAGTACATTTTTTTTTTTTTAAGACAGTAAATGACATTGGAGCTGAAAAGAACAAACTGATATTAAATCAAGAAATCAGTTCACAGAGTTACTCTGGGTGGCCACAAATATGACTCAAGAGGGATGCCAGACAGATCAGTAGTAGCCAAACTATAGCATATGGTATTAGGATAATAGATGCTCAAGGGTTTGCTCTCTGTCTCCATGGGATTTATTCCTCTAACTTATGTATGTACTCCTTTTCTCTCTCTCCTTTCACCTTCCTTCCCTTTTTTCTTTGTCTACAGAGTGAGGTCAGCAAATTACCTGCTTTCTACCTGCCTTGTATAAAATGTGAACATAGACGTTCACGGCAAACGACAGCAGCCAAGATAACATCTGTTTCAGGTTTAGAAGCATATAGTTGCAATTTTAAGCAGAGAATAGCTCAGCTTCAGGAAGCTTAGTGGAGGGCACAGCAGAGAGGCTGTGCAGCAGCAGCTGCCAACAGTCAGAAGTGCCTCCTTAGGAGGATGCCATTGGAGTAAAATCCATGTCAAGCAAGCATGCAAATATTAAGGCAATGTATTGAAAAGACCCTCAAAAATACCATATGGCATGATCTAATTAACAACATGTGGACCATTTACAGCCAGTAGCATAGAAATCCTGGAAATCATCCACTCTCCAGTTTGGAAACTTATAATACACTGACTTGTCCAATTTGCTAATGGGATTGTCTGCTGTATTGTTTAGCATGTGAATGCATAGTCATTGGAAGCGATGGCCTTGTGACACAGCATTCTTGGAGCCAAGTTTACTAGGATGTATTCCCAGTTGGTACAGCAGCAACGTGGTCCACTGCATACTGTTTAACTCTTCAAGGATGCATGTGAAAATGGGAAGGGAAGGTAGATGTTCCATGGCAAGACAGCCTTCATCAAATTCCTTAACAGGGCACTAAAGGAGCCAGCAGATGGTATGGCGGATAAGGCACTGTATTCCCACATGCGCTACCGCACAATTTGAGTCCTGGACCTGGCAGCTTGAGGATCATGTCAGGTGATGTACATAAATGCCCCAAATCGCAGGAGAAGACCAAAGGATAGAGGATAGTGTCATGGCCAATCCCTCTGGGCATGTGATTTCTCACTTTCCCTGTCCCTGACTGTCTCTCTCTGACAGATGCACATGCCCTATGGGAAAAGCCTTATGAAAAGGGTAGGGGGATAGTAAGGTGTTTAAAACCAGAAGTACCACCTATGCTGGAAATACAGTGATAAGACTTAGCAACAATTAAATAGCAACAATTTCTCAGAGCTCAGATTTTGCCATATTTTTTATGTAAAGAACATATAAGAACATATAAGCATAGGAAATGAGAGGGAATAGAATAAAACATCATTACAACTGGAGGGAATATACTCAAAGCTGTAGATTTTTAACATGTGGGTCTGTCCAACTAAGATTTCACCCCTTCCAGAACTAACCATGGCATCTTGAATGAGTCTCAAGGATGCTATGTTAAGATTACTGAATCGAATAGGAGATTAGATGATAAAATCTTTGTGAGCTATTTACCCAAAAGATCTCTGGACTTCTTGAGAAATTAGAACCAGCACAGATTAGCATATAACTTCTACATCTCATATAGCTGTCCAGCATAGGGAGTACTAAAGGACTTTTAATGTAAAAGTAAACACGAGCCTCTCTTTCTCTAGGGTGACTGTCTTGCTTAGAACCTCATCAACCATTGTTTCCAAGATTACCTTTAGTCACGTACAGAAAGAGATATTGTTCATCTCTGGGGATTTGATTTGGGAAAATCCCATAGAGATAAAAATGTGACCATTGAGAAACTTGTTTGAGCCATGAATGGATTTCCTCTAAGAGTGGGAGAAGTGATGGAAGGGGAGAAAGAGAAAATAGGGATTGCTGAGATGAACCTAAACAGATCACCTCTTTGAGTCAATTATGTAAGGACAGAGCTGATACTTGCTTAATCCTGAAGCCCTGAGGCATATCACTGATTTCAGATGTCTTTCAAAACACATGGGTTGTATTGCAGAATTTCGGACTATTAAGGAAACCCACAAGGATATGGAATCATAAAAGAAAAGACCTGTGGGAGGAGATTTAAGAATTCTACATGCAAGCCAGCATCATTGCCAGTATTTGAAATGCTTTGAGAATAATTTTAATTTTAAAGTACTTGCAAAATTAAGAGGCATACATCCAAATTGTCAGTAAGAGAACTATTAATGAACAACTAACAATGAGGTGGTTCTTCCTGAGAGCTCTTCTTGAAAAAGACTGTTGACATGTTTTGAAACCTTTAGGTCTGCTTGCCAACAGAGACCGAAGTGGAATGTAGTTAATATTACTGAAAAAAATATGTATACAGCTGGCATCATCTTGCAACCTGTGAGAAAATAGTTGTGATTGTAAAATTGAAGTCAGATATGTTATAAGCACACCTGCTTCAGCCAAGGTCCTTTCGGGGGTGTGTGTGCATGTGTGTGTGTGTGTGTGTGTGTGTGTGTGTGTGTAAATATGATTATGGCTTTAGTTTAACTCTTTTCTAATCAAAATGTGTTCCATGAACCAGTAACACTGACATCCTCTGGGAACTTTCTAGAAATACCCAATGTTAAGTCCCATCTAAGACCCACTGAATCAGAATCTTCCTTTTTATCAGGATCCTCAGATGGTTCCCATGCATATTAAAGTTTGAGAAGTACTATTTAAATCACTTTGTTTTCAGAGGCACCGCCTACTATACACATGCCCATTGAATAAGCTACCATAAAAATTCATGTATCTAGTGGATAAATAAACATGGAGAGTTTTAAAGACAAGTATCTTTGAAGAGAACACAAGTCAACCTCTATGTTATAAAGGAAAAAAAGACATGACTGGGAAAAGTACCTACATATAACATCTAACAAACATTATTATTATTATTATTATTATTACTATTAAAGTACGGTGAGAACCTTTGTAAGACTACTATATGAACACTTTGTTGTTTAATACATCTTAATTCAATCACAAGGTTGTTAAAACGATGGAATGCAACACATGTGAAAGGGTTTGGGAACTATGGTGTGCCAGGTAAACAGAAACTACTGTTTTACTCGTCATCCCCAGGACAGAGGCTCAAATCATCCTTTGATCCTCCCTTTTTCTTACCTTGTTTCATACAACCAGTAATTCTGGAAAACAGAGAGATACTTATCTCTGAAAATCTTACCAATCTTATCTTTTTTCTTTTATCATTATCATGACAGCTTAAAGTTAATTCCGTTATCTTCTTCTAGGATTAGTACAGTCACTTTCTAGCTAATATTTCTTTCTTTCTTCCCCCCTTCCACACCCCTGGGCTCATGCACTTAATGGAGAGACAGAGAGAGACAGAAAAACAGGAAGCGAGAAATTACCTCCCAGGTGTATGGCCACATCGCCATTCTCCTCCAGGGTCTTTTTTTTTTTTTTTTTTTGGAGAGGTTTTTACTATAGGGTGCATGCGCTCGCCAGACAGACAGAGAGAGACATAGGAGACATAGAGACAGAAAGCGAGAAATCACCCTCCAGGGGGGATGGTCACCCCGCAATACCTTCTCCTCCATTCTCCTCTCGGGATCTTGGGCACACACACATGCGCCCAGCGTGAGTTTCAAGCCACCAGGTCCGGGACGTGAACCATGCGTGGGAGTCCAGCGACATAGCTATTACGCTAACTGCTGGTTCCCTCCTCCAGGGTCTTGAGCACACATGCACATGAGCCCAGCTAGAGTCTCAAGCCTCTGGCTTGAACTGCAACTGCAGTCAGCCAAGTGGAAGTCCAGTGAGGTAACTGCTATGCCATCTGCTGGTCCCTCTAGCTGATATCTGACTCTAGTATCTCTTCTCATCCATTTTCTTCATTGCCTTTGACGACCTTACTAAAAAGCAAACTGAATAATTTTACTCATCTACATTTAACTCTGTACTTGCTCTCCTTTTTCCAATAGGGTCAAACTGCCTCACAAGGATCTTGAAAACAAACCAATATACTTTTAAAGTATAGTTTGTTGCACCATATTGTTTTTTTGAGAGAGAGATTTTTATTTTCTTTGGCTATAGCATGTGTGCACTCGCTAGAGAGACAGAGACAGATAACAAGAAATCACCTTCCAGGGGCATAGCCACACCATAA